CATTGGTGGAATGCATTGCCGGAGAGGGTAGTGGAGTCGGCCTCATTAGGGGCATTTAAGCGGCTATTAGATAGGCATATGGATGATAGTATAAGGTAGGGGTGGAGGTTAGATAGACCTTAGGATTAGGGTAAAAGTTCGGCACAACATTGTGGGCCGAAGGGCCTGTACTGTGCTGTACTGTTCTATGTTCTAACCTACAACAGCCCTCCATGCTGTCCACAGTTCCACCAACCTTCGTGTCATCGGCAAACTTACTAACCCATCCTTTCGCTTCCTCATCCAAGTCATTTATAAAGATCACAAAGAGCAGAGGTCCCAGAACAGATCCCTGTGGAACACCACTGGTCACCGAGCTCCAGGCTGAATACTTTCCATCTACTACCATCCTCTGTCTTCTATTGGAGAGCCAGTTTTGTATCCTAAACTAATCTAGTCCCATTTGCCTGCATTTGGCCCATATCTCTGTAAACTTTTCCTATTCATGTACATGTCCAAATATCTTTTAAATGTTGTAACTGTACCTGCATCTACGTACCAGAGAAAAAAGTCCCAGCCTATCCAGCCTTTCTTATAACTCAAACCTTCCAGTCCCGGCAAAATCCTGGTAAATCTTTTCTGAACCCTGTTCAATTTAATAATGTCCTTCCTATAGCAGGGTGACCAGAACAGTACTCCAAAAATGGCCTTGCCAATGTCCTGTACAACCTCATCATAACTTCCCATCTCCTATACTCAGTGGCCTGAGCAATGAAGGCAAGTGTGCTAAACGCCTTCTTAACCAACCTGTCTACTTGTGTTGCAACTTCAAAGAACTATCCAAATCATTTATATAAATGACAAACAACAGTGGAACCAGCACTGATCCCTGCAGAGCACCAATCCCTGTGGTCACTGTTGGTCACAGGCTTCAGTCCAAAAAACAACCCTGTACCATTACCTTCTGTCACCTACCTTCAAGCCAATATTGTATTCAACTGGCAAGCTCTCCCTGAATCCAACTTTACCCATTAGTCTACCATGTGGAACTTTGCTAAAGTCCATGTAGACAACGTCTGTCATTCTGCCCTCATCAATATTTTTGGTTATGTCCTCAAAAAAAATCAATCAAGTTTGTCTGACATGATTTCCCATGCACAAAGCCATGCTGATTATCCCTAATCAGCCCTTGTTTCTCCAAATGCATGAAATCCTGTCTCTCAGAATCCCGTCCAACAACGGATTTCAGACATCAGACTCCCTGGTCTATAGTGCCCAGGCTTCTCCTTACAGCCCTTCTTAAAAAAAGAACATAAGGAGTAGGAGCAGGAGGAGGCATCTGGTCCATCGAGCCTGCTCTGCCATTCAATAAGATCGTGGCTGATCTTTTTGTGGATTCAGTTCCAGATACCAGCCCACTCACCATAACCTTTAATTCCTTTACTGTTAAAAAATCTGTCCATCTCTACCTTAAAAATATTCAACAGCATAGCTCCATTGGGCAGGGGATTCCCACAGTTTCAAAACTCTTTGGGTGAAGAAGTCCCCCCTCAACTGAGTCCTAAATCTGCTTCTCCGTATTTTGAGGCTATGCTTCCGAGTTCTAGTTTCACCTGCCATAACCTACTCTGCTCCCCCTCCAGTGCCAGTACATCTTTTTTCAAGTGAGGAGAACAAAATTGTACATAGTACTCCAGGCGTGGCCTTGCCAACACCCTTAACAGCTGCAGCATAACCTCCCTGTTTTTATGCTGCAGTCCTCCAGCAATGAAGGACAATATTCCATGTATCTTCTTAGTTACCTGCTGCACCTGCAAACCATAGGCCACCCTCCAGTCCTCTGGCACCTCATCCATGGCTGTAGATGAACAAATGTCTTTGATAGGGCCTCACAGTTTCTCCCCTAACTTCCCACAATGTCCTGGGATACACTTGATCAGGCCCCAGAGATTCATCCACCTATATGTTTTTTAAGACTTTCACCTCTTCTTCTGTATTGTGGACTGTTTTCAGGACATCAATATTTATTTCCCCGGTATTTATTGACTACCCTCCATTTCTTTCTCCTCAGTAAAAATTGATATGAAATAATCTCCATCTCCTGAGGTTCCACACAGAGGCGATCTCATTGATCTTTAAGAGGTCCTATTCTCTCCCAACTTGTTCTTTTGCTCTTAATGTACTTGTAGAATTGCTTTGGATTATATTTGACCTTATCTGCTAAGGCTATCTCATATCCCCTTTTTGCCCTCCTGATTTTCCACTTAAGAATGCCTCTACACCCCTTGTACTCTTCACTTGAGCCCAGTTGTCTATACCTAATATATACCTCCTTATTTTTGACCAGAGCGTCAATATCTTTATTCATCTATTGTTCCCTACTCTTACCAGCCTTGCTCTTCACTCTAATGGGAGCAGAATGCCTCTGAAGTCTCACTATCTCACTTTTGAAAGCCTCCCACTTGTTAGTCATGGAGTCATGCAGCATGGAAACAGACCCTTCAGTCCAACCAATCCATGGTGACCATAATCCCAAACTAAACTAGTCCCACCTGCCTGCACTTGGCCCATATCCCTGCAAATACTTGTACAGGGCCTTGGTGAGACCACACTGAGAATATTGTGTGCAGTTTTGGTCTCCTTTTCTGAGGAAGGATGCTCATGCTCTTGAGGGAGTGCAGCGAAGGTTTACCAGGCTAATTCTGGGGATGGTGGGTCTGAAGTATGAGGAGAGATCGACTAGGTTAGGATTGTTTTCGCTGGAGTTCAAACAAATGAGGGAGGATCTCATACAGATTTATAAAATTCTAACAGGACTGGACAGGGTAGATGCAGGGAGGATGTTCCCGATGGTGGGTGTGTCCAGAGCCAGGGGTCACAGTATGAGGATTCCAGATAAACCATTTAGGACGGAGATGAGGAGACATTTCTTCACCCAAAGAGTGGTGAGCCTGTGGAATTCATTATCACAGGAAGTAGTTGATGCCAAAACATTGAATGTATTCAAGAGGCAGCTAGATATAGCGCTTGGGTTGAATGGGATCAAAGGTTACGGGGAGAAAGCAGGATTAGGCTATTGAGTTGGACAGTCAGCCATGATCGTGAAGAATGGCAGAGCAGGCTAGAAGGGCCGAATGACCTCCTCCTGATCCTATCTTCTATGTTTCTATGTTATTCATGTACTTACCTAAATGTTTTTTAAACAGAATTGTACCTGCATCCACCACTTGCTGTGGGAGTTCATTCCACACATGAACCACTCTGTAAAAAAAAATCCTTCATATCTTTTTAAAATCTTTTGCCTCTCACCTTAAAAATATGCCTCCTACTCTTGAATTCCCCTGCCCTAGGGAAAAGACACCCGCCATTCACGTTATCTATATCCATTGTGATTCTATAAACCTCTATAAGGTCACCCCTCAACCTCCTACACTTCAGTGAAAAAAGTCGCAGACTTTCCAGCTTCTCATAAGTCAAACCCTCCATTCCTGGCAACATCTTGGTAAATCTCTTCTGAACCTTCTCCAGCTTAATAATATCCTTCCTATAACAGGACGACCAGAACTGGACATAGTACTCCAGAAAAGGCCTCAGCAAAGGTCTTGTACAACCTCAACATAATGTCCCAACTTCTATACTCAGAGGTCTGAGCAATGAAGGCAAGCGTGCTAAACACCCTTTTAACAACCCTATCTATATGTGATGCAAACTTCAAAGAATTATATACCTTAACTTCCTACCTAACTTCTTATATTCACTCTGCAAATCTTCAACCCTTTCCCTAACTATGTCGTTCTTACCAATGTGTATAACAATCTCTGACTTCTCACTCTCCCCTTTACAATATGCTGCAACTGCTTTGAGATGTCCTTGATGCTGACACCAGGGAGGCAACATACCATCCTGAATTAAAGCTTACAGCCACAGAATCTCCTGTCTGTGCCCCTGACAGGTGAGGCCCCTATAACAATTACTTGTTTGAATCTTGACTATCCCTGCTTAACAAAAGATTCATTTTTGGTGCCCAAGATCTGGCTGCCACTTCTATTTTCCTCTGAGAGACTATCCTCCATCACCCACGCCCCCCCCCCCCCCCCCCCCCCCCCCCCCCGACCACCCACAGGGAGAATAGCCACAGGAGACTCCTGAACTACCTTCCTGCCTCTCCCGACAGTCACCCATCTATGTTACTAAAGCTGCAGTGTAAACACCTCTCTAAAGCTACTAACCATATCACTCTGTGTCTACTGTATGGTCCTCAGTGACTCTATCTCTCCAGCCGATCCAAACTGATATGAAACGCGTCCAAACACAGCTCCTGCAGACATAGTCTCCAGGGAAGTCAACTGTTCCCTAATCTCCCACATTGACAGGAGGAGCATACCACCCCCTTGACTGTTGTAATTGCCTCTTAAACATTTGCTGATGTAGACTTACCTAAAAAGACCCACATTTTTCTCAAATGCAGTGTTTTTAGACTGACTGCTGTGACACATTATGCTGGGAGAACTTAAAGCCTATGTTCTATATTATAAGACCTGAAAGAAGAAGTTCTAAATACCACCTTTTTTTTTAGAAAAATGAAATCCATCCTGCTCTTACCCACAGTTTTTAATTCTAAGCATGCATAAGAGAAAAGAATTAAATTCTTAAAATCCAGCACTTAGTTTAAACTCCCAGCAACCAAAAACCACCTCCTCCTTAAATCCTCTATCAGTCAGCTCTCAACTCTCCGTCTCTGAGTAAAGGTATGTTGATCCCTCTGATCCTAGATTCAACCTTCCAAAAATAACGGATCCAGGAACCTGCTTCCCGTCGTTACTTAAACTGCTACTAACAAACCCTTGATAAACAAGTTGAAAAGGTCAGTTTTCTGAGTCCTGTGCACATGAAAAAAAGAAATCTCTCTCCAGAGCCATTGACACCTCAAGAAACACATGGACAGTCACTCCCACAAACTCCGTGTCATCCAATCTCTCCTTCCTCCTTACTGTTTTTTTTGGACTATAAAAGTTCCAAAGTAATTTTAAAAGAAAAATATTTCTCTTCTGCTCTAGAAAACCAGAGGAAAATTCCAAGAAAAACCTCTAACTCAGGAGCATCTGCAAGATCTACACTACTCTCCTTCCACCTTTTCCTTTGATAATGTTCACCAATAACCCTGGTTATCTTCAGCATTGATCATGATAACTTTGGCCCATGACCATTGTTGCATTGCCCATTAACACTGGTAATCTTCACAATGAATCATGGTAACCTGTGCCAGGGCTTTGTCCACAACACTGACAGACTAACATCTTGGGATAGATGACCAAATGTTTGGTCAAAGAAGGAGGTTACTTTTTTATTCATTCAGAGTCACTGCCAAGACCAGCATTTATCGCCCATCTCAGTAAGGATCGATTAAATTGCTGTGGATCTGGAGTCACATGTAAGCCAGAACACGTAAGGGTGGCAAATTCCCTTCCTGCAAGGACTTTAGTGAAAATGATGGGTTTTTAAGATAATTGACAGCAAGTAACTAGATGGTCAGCATTAGGATAGTTCTTTCTCTCAGATTTAGTTTTAATTTAATTCAAACTTCACCATATGCTGTAGTGGAATTTGAACCTATGTCAAGGGAAAACAGGTGGATTTTCTCTTGTTGGAGATGGCATTTGTGTGGTGCAAATGTTACTTTGCCAGTTGTCAGCTCAAACTTCAATATTGTCCACATCTTGCAGCATTTGGACATTTACTGCTTCAGCATCGAAGGAGTCGCGAATGGTATTAAACATTACATAGTCATTGATGAACATCCCCACTTCTGACCATCAGACAGTTGGAAGGTCATTGATGAAGAGCTGAAGATATTTTGGCCAAAAAACACGACCCTGAGAAACTCTGGCAGTGATGTCCTGGAGCTGACATGCCTAACCTCCAACAACCACAACTATCTTCCAATGTGCCAGGTAGGACTCCAACCAGTAGAGAGTTTCTCTGATTCCTGTTGAGGTTTGCTCAGCCCTTGATGCCGCACTTGGTGAAATACAACCTTGTTGTCAAGGGCAGTCACTCTTCCTTCCCCTCTGGAGTTCAGCTCTTTGTCCATGTTTGGACCAAAAATACAATGAGATCAGGAACTCAGTGGCCTTGCAAAAGCCAAATTGGATATCAGTGAGTAGGAGCTGCTTGATAGCACTGTTGATGACACCTTCTGTCTCTTTACTAATGATTGAGTATGGTTTGACAAGACAGTAGTTGGCTGTTTTTGATTCGTCCTGCTTTTTCTGGACAGGGTATACCTGGGCAATTTTCCACCTTGACAGGTAGGTGCCAGTGTTGTGGCTGTATTTTTATTTGTTCATGAGATGTGAATGTCAATGGCTGATCCAGCAATTTTGCCCTGTCCAGAAAATGTCCTTGAGAGGGTGAAAGTGAGCTACTCTTGAACTGTTGTAGCCTTTAGGGTAAACTGATATCTACAGTGTTAGGAAGAGAGTTTCTGGATTTTGACGAAGTGACTGAAGGAACGATGATGTATTTCCAAGTCAGGATGGTTTGTGACTTTCAGGCAAACTCGCAGTTTGCGGTATTCCCATGCATCTGTTGCCCTTGTTCTTTTCCGAGGTGTGGGTTTGGCAGGTGCTGTCAGAGGAATCTGGAACAGCCTTGTTAGAGACATGACAGAATCTGGAGTAATGGTCTTCACTACTACTACAAGAAAGTTGTCAAGGCCCACAGCTTTTGCAGTGCCCAGTGTAAAGGTATCTTTTTGTTTTTTCTGTATTTTGATTGTGGACTGAAATCGGAAAAAGACTATTTTTAAAAACCAAGGATTGCTGAAGGACTGCTGCACTTCTTAAAAGCAAGTTACCTGCTTCTCATTGTAAGTGCTGTTTACACAGCTGTTGCTTTGAGTCATTACAGACCATCTGGAGCTGTGCAAAAGTGGAGTTTTGGCTGGCAACAAATAGTTTATTTGTCTGTGACCAGTGGCCAGTTATTGGTAACAAAAACCTTCTGCCTGCTACTGAATGTGTGAATGGCTCCTATGTAACTGAAAAGTTCGAGGTTGTGCATGTTTTGGACAAAAGCCTTTGGACCTCTAGAAGGGAAGAAGCTGTTTTTGCTAGGCAGTGAAATGCATCTCTGTGGAGAGTGTGCAACAAAGATTTACCAGACTGATTTCTGGGATGACAGGAGTGACATATGAAGTGAGAGTGGATCAGTTGGGACTACATTTGGTGGAGTTTAGAAGACTGAGAGAGGAACTCAGGAACCTATCAAATTCTAAGAGGGCTAGACATGGTAAATGTGGGAAGGACCAAAGGACACAGTCTAAGGATACAGGGTAAACCATTTAGGACTGAGATGAGGAGAAATTTGTTCACACAATGTATGGTGAGCCTGTGGAATTCTCTGTCACAGAAAACAGTTGAGGCCAATATATTGAATGTTTGCAAGAAGAATTTAGATATATTCCAACGAGAAGGAATCAAATGTTATGGAGAGACAGAAAGAACAGGGTACTGTGCTAGATGATTAGCTATGATCATATTGAATGGTGGAGCAGGCTTGAAGGGCCAAAAGGTCTACTCTTATTCCTGCCTTTCATGTTGCTGTCACAAGTCCAAAGATTGTCAGTCACTGTAATTAAGTCAGAAACCTTTATAAGTGTGAAGCAGTCACCTTGTGCCTTTTGTACATATAAGTGAAAGTACCCAAAGAAGGAAAATTGACAACCAGTGTTCTGATCAGCAAAAGGAACAACACAGTAAATTCTGTGGATGGGGACAACTAAATTGCATTCTCAGTCATTTCCTCTACCTGTAACACCTTTATTTTAATGTATGCATATGTGTGTACAGATGGAGTTTCTATGTGGGTTGGTGTTTTAACCGGTAGAGTTATATGCTGACAGTTCATAATTGTTTATGTGTAGTTCAAATCTATTTAGTTGTAGATAATAGTAATCCTTGCTAAATACAGAAACTTCGTCCACACTTTCTGTTACATCGGTTGAAGACTGCCGGTTGTGATGCTGGGGATATCAGGAGGAGGCCGAGATGGATCATCTGTTTAACCTTCCTTGATGGGAATGGTAGAGCAAGGAATACACTGGGTCATGAGATTGCAAAGTGTGGTTAAATGCACAAGTGCTCCTGATGACCCACAGAGCTTCATGGATGCTCAGTCTTAAGTTGCTTGAAATGTATCCTATACAACACAGTAGTGCAGCATCCACAATAGGACTTCTTCGAAGGACTGTTCAGTAGTCACTGTTATTGAGATTGCTTCAGGGAGTTCAGTGAGGATGACGTGAAGTAAGTGCGCCATACTACAACTGCGCCTCCCTTGTCCGCGGGTTTTATGGTGAAGTTGGGATTGGAGCGGAGGGAGCAGAGGGCTGCACGTTCTGCGGGGGAGAGGTTGGAGTGGGTGAGAGGAGTGGAGAGGTTGAGGCAATTGATGTCTCGACGGCAGTTGGAGATGAAGAGGTCGAGGGAGGGTAGGAGGCCTTGGGGTGGTGTCCAGGAGGAGGGGGTGTGTTGGAAGCGGGAGAAGGGGTCAGTAGAGGGAGGGTTAGGTTCACGGTTAAAGAAGTAAGCGTGGAGGCGGAGGCGGCGGAAAAACTGCTCTATGTCCAAGCGTGAGCGGCATTCGTTGATCTGTGGGTGGAGGGGGACAAAGGTGAGCCCTTTACTAAGGACTGACCGTTCGTCCTAGTAAGGGGTAGGTCTGGGGGGATGGTGAAGACTCGGCAGGGCTGGGTGCTGCTGTCTCCTCTGGAGCTGCTGGCTGTGGAGGCTGTGGGCGGAGCTGTGTCGGCGTCGGCTGTGGGCGGAGCTGCGTCGGCGTCGGCTGTGGGCGGAGTTGCGTCGGTGTCGGCGGTGGGTGGAGTTGTGTCGGCGGTGGGCGGAGTTGCGCCGGCGGTGGGTGGAGTTGCGTCCGCGTCGGTGATGGGCGGACCGGCGTCGGAGGTAGGAGGAGCGGGGTAGGCGGCGGCAGTAGCGGTGAGGGTGGTCACGACTTCAGTGTCGGTGGCAACGGCAGCGATGGTGTTTGCTGTCCCGGAAGTGGGGAACCCGGCGGTGGCGGATGTGACGTCATCTGTGGATTCTCCGATAGTGGCCTCATGGCCAATGGCGGCGGACCCATTGTGGGGAAGGTCCTGGGTACGGCTGGGGATTTGTGGGGTGGAGGAAGCCCGTTTTGGGTGGTAGGCACCAGTAAGTTTACTGTACTTACGGTTTTTAGTGTCCAATAAAGCTGAGTAGAATTGGGAGTTCAGGTTGTGGATCCTACGTAGAATAAAAAACAGGAGAGGTCCTTTGCAGGTCTGGGAGAGGGAGGCTCTGAGCTGGGGTAGGCTTGATTGTAGTGCCTGGAGATGCCGGCGCATTGCTGCAAGTTTGTGTTTCAGGAGTCGCAGGGAGAAACGTTTCTGAAGGATCTCAACACCATGAGTGTAGATATTATCACGGTTGGGGCCAAATTGGGAAGGCTTGAATGTGGATTGTAGTCCATTGGGGATGATCTGGTTCCGTAGGCAGGTGCTAAGGAAGGTGATGTGGCTGTAGTACCTCTACATCGCCGAGGCCGGACGCCAACTCTCCGACACCTCCTCCTACCGCCCCCTTGATCATGACCCCACCCCTGAGCACCAAACCATCATCTCGCAAACCATCCACAACCTCATCACCTCAGGTGACCTCCCACCCACGGCCTCCAACCTCATCGTTCCCCAACCTCGCACTGCCCGCTTCTATCTCCTTCCCAAAATCCACAAACCTGAATGCCCTGGTCGACCCATTGTCTCCGCCTGCTCCTGCCCCACCGAACTGATCTCCAACTATCTAGACTCCATTTTCTCCCCCTTGGTCCAGGAACTCCCTACCTATGTCCGTGACACCACCCACGCCCTCCACCTCCTCCAGAACTTCCAATTCCCCGGTCCCCAACACCTCATCTTTACCATGGACGTCCAGTCCCTCTACACCTGCATTCCCCATGCAGATGGCCTTAAGGCCCTCCGCTTCTTCCTGTCCCGCAGGCCCGACAAGTCCCCCTCCACTGATACCCTCATCCGCTTAGCCGAACTCGTCCTCACACTCAACAACTTCTCTTTCAATTCCTCCCACTTCCTACAGACAAAGGGGGTAGCCATGGGCACCCGCATGGACCCAAGCTACGCCTGCCTCTTTGTAGGTTACGTGGAACAATCCCTCTTCCGTACCTACACCGGCCCTAAACCCCACCTCTTCCTCCGTTACATTGATGACTGTATCGGCGCCGCCTCGTGCTCCCACGAGGAGCTCGAACAGTTCATACACTTCACTAACACCTTCCACCCCAACCTTAAATTTACCTGGACCATCTCTAACACCTCTCTCCCCTTCCTGGACCTCTCTGTCTCCATATCGGGCAACCACCT